CCATCCCAGTAGGGAGGCCGCTGCGGAGACCATCCGCACCCAATAGGGGGAAACAAATGGAATTACATATGGACTAACCCTGAGAAGGGGGAGTGCGCATAAGAAGGTGGTTAGCAGATAGTGAAAGCACGGGTCCGCCCAGGGGGGGGAACTTAACCGTGGCGGAAAAAGCATATGGGGATCACCAGCGGGGATCGGCCATAGCAGGCACCTATACCCAAAACGCGGGCTGACCAGCGGGCAGACCTACTACGTAATGGGCCAGCAAGTGACTCCTCCGCTGAGTCAGTGCTGGGGGCCTCGGAGGAATCTGTAGGGCTCACCAAATGGGGAACTTTACTGACAGACAGGAGGGTGCACATCTCTCCGTGTTAGGGAAAAAAAAGGCACCGCAAGCGTGTACAACACCTACCGAGTTGTTTCCTCAATCACCAAAGGTACCTAACACCCTTGAGGAAACCGGCTCCACTCGCAGATTATAAAATCTTGCAAATGTGTTGGGTGTCGCCCAGCCCGCAGCTCTACAAATGTCTGTTAAAGAAGCGCCACGCGCACACGCCCAAGAGGATGCAACGCTCCGAGTGGAGTGCGCATGCACCCCTGGGGGGCGCGGCTGGCCTCTGCTCAAATAAGCACATGAAATGGCCTCCACAATCCAGTGGGATAAACGTTGTTTAGACACGGCACTTCCCTGCTGCCATCCGCCATAACAGACAAAGAGCTGCTCAGAAGATCTAAAGTTCTGAGTACGGTCCACATAAATGCGCAGAGCGCGAACTGGACAAAGTAAGGACAGGGCTGGGTCTGCCTCCTCCGGGGGCAGCGCTTGCAGGGTTACTACCTGATCTCTAAAAGGAGTGGTAGGAACTTTGGGCACATAACCCGGGCGGGGTCTCAGAATAACGTGAGAAAATCCCGGCCCGAATTCCAGGCACGAGTCACTGACCGAAAATGCCTCCAGGTCCCCGACCCTCTTAATGGAGGCCAACGCGACCAGCAGAGCTGTCTTCAGGGACAGAAATCTTAAAGATACTGTATCGAGTGGCTTGAAGGAATCAAATCGCAGGCTCGTGAGAACGAGGGCGAGATCCCAAGAGGGCGTGAGAGGGGGGCGAGTTGGATTAATTCGCCTAGCGCCTCTGAGGAACCGGATGATGAGGTTATGCTTTCCCACGGTGCAGCCAGCTACCGCGTCATGGTGAGCGAAGATGGCAGCAACGTAAACCTTGAGAGTGGAGGGCGACAGCCTGCTGTCCAGCTTCTCTTGAAGGAAAGAGCACAACACTGATCTGGCAAGATCGGGGGTCTTCTCTGCGAGAGACACACCACTCAGTGAATAGACTCCACTTCAGGGCGTAGGCGCGCCTCGTGGAGGGGGCTCTAGCCTGAGTGATGGTATCAACCACCGCGGGCGGCAGGTTACCTAAGTCTTCCTCGCGTCTATGGACCACACGTGGAGGTTCCAGAGATCGGGACGAGGGTGCCAGACGGTGCCTTGTCCCTGAGAAAGTAGGTCCTCTCAAAGGGATCTGCCAAGGGAGGGCCGTCGCGATGTGGGAGAGCTCTGATACCCAGGTTCGGTTGGGCCAGAGGGGCGCAACTAACAAAACCTGCTCCTCATCCTCCCTGACCTTGCACATTAACTGCACGATCAGGCTCACTGGGGGAAACGCATACTTGCGTACGCCCCGAGGCCAGCTGTGGGCCAGTGCATCCGTGCCGAGAGAGCCCTCGGTCAGGGAATAAAACAACTGGCAATGAGCGTTCTCGGGGGAAGCAAACAGATCGATCTGGGTCTCCCCGAATCGCGCCCATATCAGCTGGACAGACTCGGGGTGGAGTCTCCATTCTCCAGAGTGAATCTGCTGCCATGAGAGCACATCGGCTGCATGGTTGAGCATTCCTGGGATGTGAATGGCGCGCAGCGACTTCAGCCGCGGGTGACTCCAGAGGAGCAGACGGCGGGCAAGCTGAGACATGCGGCGAGAGCGCATACCCCCCATGCGGTTGATATACGCCGCCGCCGCCGTACTGTCCGTCCTGACCAGCACGTGTTGCTGCCCCAGTGCCGGAGAAAAACGGCGGAGAGCAAGGAACACTGCCAACAGCTCTAGGCGATTGATGTGCCAATGCAGCTGGGCACCTACCCACAGGCCAATAGGCGGAGATGCCGGAGCACCTCGTCTCTGTGCGCAGTCAATTGCTCCGGAGAGTGGGCTAAAATCAGCTAAAATTGAGTACGCGGATGCCCGCAAGCCGCAGAGGCGCTAGTTTGGTGAAGACCCGCGGAGACAGAGAGAGCCCGAAGGGGAGGACCTTGTACTGCCATGCTCGACCTTCGAACGCAAACCGCAGAAACTGACGGTGGCGTGGAAGAATGGAGACATGAAAATACGCGTCCTTCAGGTCTATGGCTGCAAACCAATCCTGAGGACGAACGCATCGGAGGATGCGCCTCTGCGTAAGCATTCTGAACGACAGCTTGTGAAGGCAGCGATTCAAAACGCGCAGATCTAGGATTGGCCGTGACCCACCGCTCTTTTTGGGTACGATGAAGTATGGGCTGTAAAACCCGCTCTCCATCTCGGCTGGAGGTACCGGCTCGATTGTACCCTTCGCCAGGAGGGCAGCAATCTCCTCTCGCAAGACAGGGGCGGACAGGGGATTGACCCTGGTGAAATACACGCCCGTAAACCTGGGAGGCCGTTTGGAGAACTGTAGTTCGTAGCCAAGTCTGATCGTGCGTATGAGCCACCGCGAGGGGCTGGCCCGCGCTAACCAGGCAGGCAGAGCCCTTGCTAATGACGTCATCGCAGCAATCGTTGACGTACCCACGGAGGGGCAGCGAGGAGCGGGTGTGCTGATCCGGGGAGCGCGAGGGTCCCACAGAAGAGCTGGAGGAGAGCGATTCGCTCTGGCTCCGCACCCTGACTCCAGAGGGGGGGCTTGGGGGCTGGGAGAAGGGAGACCATCCCCCCAGCGCCCGTGAGCCGCTGGCGAAGCATGCAGACCTTGCGAGCTGAGAAGCGGCGCGTCCCAGGCTGGCAGGGCCTGCAGTGCCTGTGAGCCACTGGCGGAGTGCACCGAACCTACGAGCTAGAGAGCTGAGCTCAAGCTGGCAGATTTCGGGCTGTCACCTCCGGAGAAGTGGAAAAGTGCCCTTTCATTTCATGGCAGTAAAAAGTGCCGTTGGAAATGGCGCCCCGCCCTCCAGCGGGGAAAGAGCAAGTTCCCTCCTCTCCAGATGACCTGTCCCAGGGACGCTTCGCGGTCCGTTTGCCAGACTTAGCGGCGTTCTGGGCAGGGGGAGTGGCCTGCTTCCGAGGTGCTCGACGTGCTCGCTTCGCCAGAGGCGAGTGCGGGGGCGGTGCAGCTCTCGTAGGCGGGCGCCTTCGGCGAGGAGCAGGTATGGATGGCACGGTGGGCGGAGCGGGCTTACGGGGCCGCAGATTAGACATCACCCATCGAACTGCTCTCTCACTGCCTCGAATTCCTGGGTGAATTCGCAGACTGTGTCGCCGACTAGCTTGGGATATGGGCGAGTCAAGAAAGCGGACTTTGTCAACTTCGCGCATATCAACCAAGTTTTGTTAGAGGTGGGGCTTCTGGACCACTAGTGTGGACATCGTCCTCCCCAGAGCACACGCAGCAGACTTAGTAGTCCGAAGAGCTTAGTCGGCTGCGGTGCGAAGCTCATAAGACTGGGTTGGACCCACCCTCGTGCAGCTCGGCCATCGCCTGCGCTTGGTAGCGCTGGACGGTGGCTATCGCATACAAGGCGGATGCAGCCTGGTCCGTAGCTTTGTAAGCTCTAGCTCCGAGGGAGCCGAAAACTCACAGGCTTTGGATGGGAGACGAAGCAGACCCCGCCAAGAAGAGGCGCTGCGCGGATTAACCGCCATCGCACACTCAACCTGAGGAATCGCCACATACCCCCTGGCTGCTCCACCACCAAGAGTGGTGAGGGTGGAGGGACACGCAGCACGAGCAGAAAAAAGGTGCTCTTTAAGACCGCGTGAGCCTACTGTGCGTCGCCGGGAAGAAGGGAACGCCCCTCTAGTCGGTCCGGCCGCGGAGCTGGGGGATAAACCATCTCCAACCCACGGCCGAAGCAGCCCGGGAAAGCACGGCTAACACGTCCGTTTCAGTATTCGTTTTGACAGCGCTCACCTGCCCGAAGGGGGTGAGCGGGTCTGGATCATCGTCGGACAATGAAAGCCCACCCTCCGATGCCACGGAGGACATCTGATCTCCGGTGACAGCGAGTGTGAGAGCTACCATCTGATTAGACGGATCACTCCCAGCGCCCGAAGCTTGGATGGAGCGCTTGGAGGAGCGAGAGGTCCGCGAGCCCTTAGGCGGCGGATTATCTCTCGCTGGAACCCTCAGATCTGCACGAGCGCCCGCTGCAGAACAGGAGGCGACTGGGGTGGCTCGCTCTCTCACAAGAGTTTGCCGCGATCTCAACTGCGCGACGGTCATGGCATCGTAGTGACGACATGAACCGCCCCCGAGCACCACATTAACATGCTGGACCCCCAAACATGTAATGCAGTGATCGTGCCCATCATCCGGAGCCAGGAAACCCCCGCAACCAGAAACGCACAGTCGGAGCGCCGTCCTGAAAAGGACGTGCTGCACGACTGTGTTGCTCTTTTAGGATGCTTTGCAACAATACGCAACGCTCTGGAGGACCGGACCCAAAGGGATGCTAGGCAAGGGAGAAACACAGCTCGACCATCTGCCGCTGCGTGGACTCGCTCTGGACCGGGAGACACTCGTTCGCTCGAAGTGGCTGTAGACAGCAGGAGGAACCCTCATGAAGCTCGATCAGAAAAGTCTCTGAAGCGAAAAGGATAGCGTCTGCTGGCGCCAGGTGAGCTTATATACTCAGTTGATTGCTTATGCCGCTCACCTGCGCAGGCTTGCGCTGCCAATTCATTCTTAATTGGCCCGTTCAATACTCTTTCAGACGAGTAGCTTCTGAACCGTACCTCCCAATGCGTGGATTTTACAATCAAATCCACTTATAGTGCTGGAGTTCCCCCTGAAGGGGAACTCTCTTACATCTCTCCTCATGTCAATATCTTTAATTGGAGGAGTGTCTGTGATGATCTTCTTTACACTCTGCTCCCAAAACATGTCAAACTCTTTTCAGTTGGTGGTGAGATATACGTGTGGATGGTTAGCACTTAAATTTTGGCACTTTAGACAAAAGTGGCAGGGGCTTGGATGAACCAGTGTCGGTTTCTTTTTCTGGTTTCTTTAAACGCAAGTTCAATGCAGCATCTCCAACTCTAGTTGCAAAAACCCCATTTTCAAGTGGAGTGTTAAATGCATCTTGTTGAACTGCAGTTTAAAAGGAGATATTTTCAACGTCAGTGTCAAATCCATCTCTTTCAGCCTCAGTACCACATTTTTCAGCTTCTCCCTCAGCACCACCTTTTTCAGAATTCTAAGTTTCTCAGTATCAGCACCACCTTTTTCAGCTTCTTCACCCTTAACACCACCTTTTTCAGAATTTCTAGTCTCTTCAGTATCAGCACCACCTTTATTATCTTCTTCAGCATCAGCACCACCTTTATTATCTTCTTCAGCATCAGCACCACCTTTATTATCTTCTTCAGCATCAGCACCACCTTTATTATCTTCTTCAGCATCAGCACCACCTTTATTATCTTCTTCAGCATCAGCACCACCTTTATTATCTTCTTCAGCATCAGCACCACCTTTTTCAGCTTTTTTATTTTCTTCAGCCTCAGCATCCTTTTCAAGCTCTGTCTTATCTGTGCCTTTTTTGATCAGACTCTCTGGTTTTCTTTTCACCTTCAACACTGTTTTCCCATTTATGTTAACTTTTTGTACTTCAAGAATTTTATTTTTTTCCATTTTTTCCAAGTGTTCAGAAATATCTTCAGCATTTTCAAAGTGAACTGGCTTGTTATTATTATCAAGTTTAGCCACAACATAATCATATCTTTGAGTAATTTGTAAGCCATTTTCGTTATTGACATAATAAATATCAATTTTACAGTCGCTTCTATATAATGTTTTATTACTTTCCACTTCAATTGGAAATTTTTTTGTGAACTTGATTTTGTTAAACTCCTCTAATGCCATGAAGGATTGCCTGTGTGGTAAATGTTTTCTAACATTTTTTGAATCACTCCATACTCTTTCCCAAAAGTTGTTATCTGGATTATCAGTGGTCTTCAATACATGTCTCTGGAGAAAATCATTATGTGTTGGGGCACGTTTGGATCTGATGTGAAGTTTTGTGCAAATACACAAAAATTCTGCATGTGTACTGATGAAGTTTATAGTAATGCTTGAATAGGATCCTCCTGGAAAATGTTGAATCTGTTTATTTTGTTGAATCACCATAAAACTGCAGTTTTTTTCCACCTGAAAAGACAAAAGTAGTACAACCCCAAATCAGAAAAGTTGGGACAGAATGGAAAATGCAAATAAAAAATTAAGTAGTGATTTATAAATTTACTTTTACTTGTATTTCACTGCAGACAACAAAACAAACATTATTTAATGTGTTTCTCGTGATTTCTGTTTTTTTTATTTATTTATTTATTTATTTATTTATTTATTTTTGGTTCTTCTAATTCTAATACATTTCAAAAAAAGTTGAAACAGGAGCCATTTAGAGCTAGTAACCAGGTAAATTGCTTAAATGATGATGTGATTTAAAACTGCAGAGGATGAGGATACAGGTACATGACCATTTTAGTCAGAGTGTTTTTGTACATGCAAATTTTTAGATTTATTATTATTATTTTTTTTTTATTTCTACATGAAAATAACATTATGGACTGTCAAGTGCATAGAAAACCAACAGGTGGTGATATAACACTATGATATAAACAAAGCCATGTTTGCCAATCAAAATCCTGAAAAAGTCTGGGCGTGTGTTTAAGTGTAGATGAACCAAAATGGAGGGTTATAAAATGGAGGCATGGCTATCCACAATCACTCTCTGATTGGGTCTTCTAGATTATTGTGTATCATTCCCAGGTAGGGAAGGTTGCAATGCTACTTTATTATACAGAAAAATTGTATGATTAAGGGGTGGGACAGTTCACAAAATTGTCAGTTCAGTTTGTACAGTTACAGTTTTGTGGTCACCGCTTTAGGTTTGATTGGGTTTAAAAAAAATCCCCTATTTCATCACTTAAATATCATATACCAGCATAAAATACTGTATATAGCCTAATAATCTACCATTTACAGAAAAAACAGGCTACAATCTTAAAGATTTTTATTTAGTCTTTTGATGTTTGTTTAATGTTAATGACAACAGCATGGTAATATTAACTGCTGTCATTTAAAAAAAATATTTCAACAAATATGTCATTTCAGTTAGATTTAGCCCACTGTTAAATATGGGTAATCCGATGTTAATGTTACATGCATTTTTGTTATATGTTGCAGCACAAGAACATTCATTCATTAATTTTCTTGTCAGCTTTGTCCCTTTATTAATCCTGGGTTGCCACAGTGGAATGAACTGCCAACTTATCCAGCACGTTTTTACACAGCAGATGCCCTTCCAGCTGCAACCAAGTTTTTTAAACTTAATATTTTACCTTTTTTCATAATAAATTAAGTTGAAAAAAACTATTCCTGTTGGTGTACCAAGTTGGAGTAGTTGTTCTATCTCTTAAAATCTTACCTTCACCGACAGACTCTCCAAATGCCATGTTTCAGGACTGAGTTGCTCATTGTCACTCACTGACAAACTTAAACTGAGACAAGGAAACTTGCGCTGCAGCTGCAATGTTGCACAAAGTTTCTCAGATCCCTGCTGAGGATTCAGATTCAGAGATGAAGGACAGGTGAAGTATAGTCCCACAGAGAGAGGACACAACGCCCACAACACGTAGAGGAGGAACACAGATGGCATCATTTCAGCTTCAAACTCATCCGCTGTGTGAAATATCCATGCTGCTGGAGACCTTAGACCACCAAGTTTTTCATTGGATAATGGAAGAGTAATCCACCCTGTGTGCCGGTAAGAGCACCAATAAAGAGGAGACGGGTGATCAGATTTGCAACTGGCAGATAAAGATGGGGCCAAAAATGAAGTCAAAAATGCAGTTAGTCTGAAAAACAAGAAGTACAATAAACATAATGAATAAACTATATACATACACACCTACAAATAAAAAAAAATGGCCAGCTGCATAAACAAGTCACTATATTAAAACTTGGCCTTAAGTACTAATTTCACAAGCTAACATTTAAACAGGGGGGTATTCAGTCTTACTTTGGGGATTTAAATGGCCCAATTCACCTTTTGGTAACTGAATTTATTTACAAGCAGTCTGGGGTTAAAATGATACGAACCTTTTAAGACTAGTGAAAATGCTGTTTTGTAACTGGCTATAAAGCATATGAGTGATATCCCTCTATTAACACAGGGAAGGATCAACCAGTGTGCTATGGGGGCAACTGCCTACCTAAAACTAGCACCTCAGCACTGATAACACATAGTATTAAATTTATATTTTGTCAACTAATTTACTGCAGATGTTCATCATTGTAAAGACAATTTTAAAATTCCATAGATCCATAAATAATGACTAGAAATCTTGTCTTGTAACCCTCCTTTTATCATTGGGGTCAATTTGACCCCATCCAATGTTAAACGTATCTACATATATAATTGACTTTTTTTATTTTTTTTGGTTTAAATTGAATGAATTTTCCTAATTTAATAATTTAACTTGATAGTATTTTTTCAATGCCCTGTACACATTTTGTCACATCTGTGTTCTTTGGAGTCAACTTGACACCAGGGTCTTTTAGTTGTATAAAACATAAGAAATTAAAATAATTTACACATATTTGCTTTGGATGATATTTAGGTCATTATAACATGCTATGATTTTATAATATGCACTAACATTTTTATGTTGAGTATAATAAAAAAAAAAAAAAAAAAAAAAAATGAATGAACCGCCAACTTATTCAGCACGTTTTTACGCAGCAAATGCCCTTCCAGCCACAACCCATCTCTGGCAAACATCCACACACACACTCATTCACACTCATACACTATAGCAGGCCAGAAATGCCAGAAGGGACGGACCATTTTTTAAATGTGGGCCGGTCAGCTATTTTTTTATTTATTTTTTTAAATGCATTGTTTTTACATGCAGGCAGCTTTAATGTCTTGCAAGATGTAAATATGATGATGATAATGATGATGATGATGAGGATGATGATGATGATAAAAGTAATAATAATATAAATGTTAAGTATTGGCCCAATCGGCAATGGCCAGCTTGTTTCGAGATGGGCCGACCCAATCAGAGGTTGTTTTTGTTCCAGTCATATACATGTTTAAATAATATAATATATTACAGATTAAATATTATATATTACATTAAATATTAAAATATTACAGACGGTACTGCTTATATTATTTCACCATCTGTACACCAACATAAGTAGTGAATGTGCGTGTCAATGGATGGGGCTGTGTCAGTGTGGTAATGTGGGCTGGTGTGGCTACAGTGCCAGGGCTGATTTTTAGTCCCAGTCCGCCCCTGCACTATAGACAATTTAGCCTACACAATTCACCTGTACCGCATGTCTTTGGACTGTGGGGAAACCGGAGCACCCGGAGGAAACCCACGCGAATGCGGGGATAACATGCAAACTCCACAGAGAAACGCCAACTGACCCAGCTGAGGCTCGAACCAGCGACCTTCTTGCTGTGGGGCGACAGAACTACCTACTACGTCACTATGTCGCCTACATCAAATTACAAAAAAGGAATTATCGCTTGTGCAGGGTGTTTGTAATGCAGAGTGTATGGGCACAGGCATTAGATTTAACTTTGTTTTCTCTTCTGACTGCCGTTAACAGTCTAACACTTTTTTTCCTTCCTATAAAAAAAAAAACTCTTTAAGGTTTTAAACCACCTGAGGGAGATAAAAAATTGTACATTTTAAGTTTTAGCATGAACTATCCCTTTAAAGCGTAATCTAAAGAAATAACTATTTGAACAGCTGTTTCAGTGAATCATGCAGCTGCCTCCACTCCTCCATTGTTGCAAGATATAGGGCTCTATTCTGACAATCCATGCAGCAAAGTCCAAAGGGCTGGGTGCAAAAGCATTAAGGGTGTGTCAGAATCCACTTTTGCTATTTCAGAGACGTAAAAATCTGCCTTGCGCCGTGGCACATTGTCTAACATGGTTGAGCTTATTCTCTTAATGAGTTATAGGTGTATTTTGGGAATAAACCAATCAGAGTCTCATCTTCCATTACCTTTAATAGTCAGTTGTGTCATGCCATAAGCACATTTGCTATTTACATGACAGACTTTGTAAGTGGAAAAACTGAGCGTTTCACTAGCAAGAAAACAGTTAAACAGAGCATCTACAGTGCGAGAATGAGAGACAAGCCTCCTCATTCTTTACTTTCACTTTCACTCTCGTGGATAGGGAAACATGTTGTACGCACAGACACTCATTAGCCTATACATAATTAATTTTATTTATTAAGCGCAAAGATTTGTTTAAAAACTATTTTTAAATTCAGTTATAATTTCCAGCAAACGAATAAATGAACAATAATAACGAAGTGTGAGTTATTTCCAAATCCACATGCTATTGCCTATATGGTCCAAAACCTGACAGGTGGGAAATTCTAAGCTTGCTTTTAATAAAACAAATATAAATATGGATATAATAAATAATACTATTACTAATAATAAGATTATACAAAAGCAAATCGGTATGAATAAACTGAAAAAGCCCCCCAAGATGAAGAAGGCATAACAGTATGGTTTTTATATTTGTGTAACTAGAAAATATTGTGTTTTGTAAAATTTTAATCCTTTAATTCTTTTCCATTTGTAAAGATATGTGTGTATTGCTGTACATCCTGTGTGTATTAAGCAATGTGTAAGCGAGGCGCACAACTAATGCGCTCTGAGCTGGACAATAGACCAGTTTTGATCTATCCTATTGAACCGTCTATTTAAGTTCCTCAAAATAGCAACGCGCCAGCAATGCGCCTCAACACACCTCCTTTTTTAGACCAGAACGCCTATGGGTGCACATGTGAGTGCAAATGCATTTGCTATTTAAACAGCGTAGCGCAAAACATCAAAACAACTCTTGCGCCAAGCTGAAACTAGCAAACAACAATTGCGTCGCGCCTTGCGCCGGGTGTATGATAGGGCCCATAGTTATTATACAGGTGTGCTGTTGGACTGGGTTTTAATACAAATAATTACAGCATTAATAAAGTTAGTTGAGCTTTAATAAAAGTGGAAAAAATAAGTTTGGCATTCATACCCTATTTGCAAAATATAATACTTGTACATTTTTTCTGGGAATTTGTTTGTTTTTTTCTTTAATAATATTTGGCAACACTAAATCGATGACACAAACTGAAAAAAGAAGCGTGTGTGTATCATCAGCATATAAGTGAAAATTAATGTTAAGAGATCTAAGTAGTTGACCAAGGGGGTAAATATACATACTAAAAAGTAAGAAACAGTACTGACAACTGTAGGACATCTGCATGAGGCTGGATGGATTTATGGCCACCACCTATAAAAATCAATTGACTGTGATCTGTAAAAAAAAAAAAAAAAACTTAACCAGTCAAAAACTCTTCTCAAACTTAAGCATTGTTTTATAATTAATTTGGAAATTTAGTTCAGGATTATCAAATCAACAAATCAAAGTACTAAATTATTGATACTTTACAAAGAATGCAGTATTTTAAAATACAATACAAATATGATAAATATACTATTTATTAGCTCTACACAGCAGTTTTTTTGTAATTCTTGACAGAAAAATTGCAAAGTAAAACAGTATATATACAGCATCCAATTGAATCTACGAAAATATGCAGATTCTTGCCAACCATTCATAATTGTATGCTACCCTATAAACAGTTTTCTAGATCCGAGAAATAAGGTATTTCACTATAAACGTAAATGATCATTTAACAACTAACAATTACTCATTACAATAGTTTTCAGCACCTCAGCACATACCGTGTAAGCAGCATTTATTTAATAATCACTTCTCATAATAGCGGCTCAAGAGATAAAAATGACTTCAAAACATCGACAATCATAACACCACAAAATCAGAAAGAATGAATAATCACATTAAATAAGCAATTTGAATTATTTTTAGCTTCCTACAGGACATAGCATACAGGAAATGTTCACACAACACATGGATTATCTGGTATAGAGTTAATGTTAGAACAAGGCAAGAATAAATCAATTAGGCTTACTTTGATGTCAGTGACTAACAGCCTGGTAGTACATCTGAAGTAATCGCCATGAACGAACTTGCTAACATCCTTTCAGCCACCGACTCAAACCAAAAGTTTACACAGAAACAACCTTTGCTGAAATATTACATAAGCATCTCTTATGAAAGAGCCTTTATACACACAGAGCACCTACTGTAAATTAACTATGCACTTTTAGCCCACAGGACATTAGGTAATGTGTGCACAGATACATTCAGATCTTTAACTGTGAGCTACAATTATACTTCTACTAATTAGCGAGAAACTGGCATTCAAGATTCTTCCTGCTTTGTCTCCTGTAAACTTCATATAAATGATTTTTGTATAGTTTTGTTTGGTAGCTTGTGTGTGTTTAGCAGGATTATTAGCATTCCAAAGATTGTAAATATGCTTGATTAGCACCTTACATTTCTTAAATGGTTTCTTCAATGACCAATATATTTTGTACACATTGTTTTATTTTTACCCACAATATTACAAAATATAATTTTTAATATTCTAATAAAATTAAAATGTCCATATTTCTTTGGATAATCTTATTTAAAAGCTTTACCTTTTATATTCTACTATTCCCCTGTTTTGTTTTCAATCAAAACATTACATTAATTTAACGCTTCACATTCTTAAATTAAATTTTCTAGTCCAATCTGGTAGCACTTCATTGTAAGGGTCCAAAATAATGCATTAGTTAAGCATTGTTTAATGGTTAATTTTTGCACAATAAAGCATTGGTTAAAAGCAAAAGCACTAGACAGCACTAACTAAACATTTTGAAGGGGCCCGAATTAAGCATTAGTTAAGCT